GGTTTGGTTTGGTTTGGTTTGGTTTGGTTTGGTTTGGTTTGGTTTGGTATTTAAAGTAAGACAAATCTACTTTGAGAAGCGAACTAACGAATAGAAAGTGTAGTTAAAAAAAGGTAGAAAAAAGTTAAAGTTTATTAAAAGCTAGATTAAATTAACTAGAGGTGTTGAAGGAGTCTGATGCTGACTTTTATTTGACCTTGTGTCAAAGTTAGAGCACTACTTCAACGTCAACTTTATTTTTTTAAATAGAAACTTCTATTTTTTATTACATATTCTTGTAGCTGATGTCGAGACGTTTTCAAAATACTATAATATAAAATAAAGTTCTCTTTTGTTAAATATTTTCTGAAATATTTTTTACCATAATATTTTTTAATATAAAATATGAAATATCTCATAAAGTTCATTTTTTGATAACTTTATTTTGATACTTTTATACGTAGAGTAATGAAAGGAATCGAATAATAATATTAATTTATACATTTACAATTTTGCAAAATTTAGTACGTCTATAAAATGCAATAAAATTTTTAAAAATATTTTTTTATTAATTTTATACAACAATCGATTTTTTTCATTATTTTATGTATAAAAGTACCAATATAAAGTTATCGAAAAATGAATACTTTATAAGATATTTCATATTTTATATAAAAAAATATGGCAAAATTTAAAATATCTCAAGAAATACTTAAGGTGATGCTGGAGCCGTCTGTATAACCGACAAAATTACCATTTTCTATGTTATCGACTATATCTGTCCTTGTATAGACAAAGATATAGACAAGGATAGCACGCTACATTGCACGCACACATACGCACGATGCACATCGACATTATACTTTTATATTACGCTTCTAAATCTTGATTTGGAGGGTTTATCGATGTTTTTCTTGTTGTGCAATTCGGGGGAACTTGTTTTCGCGTTCGTACCAATGGTATATCTCTTTTATGAAATACATCTTGTGACGAGCTGACAGCTCGCCGCAACTCGAGACGCCATATTGGGATAAAAGTAGGATAAGGAAATCTGTACTTTCGTAATTTTTTCTCGTTTTCTATATAAAATTGGAGTTCCCCCGAATCATTAATGTATGTACTGCAATTCTGGAGAAGGATTTTTAATTCTGTCAAATTAATACGACGCTACGTGCCGACAAAAAATGCCGGTAAAACAGACGGCTCCAGCATCCCCTTCGAAAGAGAGCTTAATTATAATGTTTTCAAAACGTCTTGACATCAGCTACAAAAATATGTGATGAAAAGTGGGGGTTCCTATTTGAAAAAAATAAAGTTGCCCTTGAAATAGTGCTCTGACCTTGACTTAAGGTTAAGTAAAAGTCATAATCAGATGACCCCCTTAATACTAAACAATTTTTGTCTGAAAAGTTTCCTTATAAAACTTACGCGCGGGTTTTTAGATATTTGAGCGGATTGATCCCAACCTATATAATAAGACTTTTACGAGACGTCTAATTGTAAGAAAATAATTCATAAAGTTTTATTCAATTGTTCACGAAAGGATCATTGCTTGTTAATCAGTTCTCTAGATTTAAATGCTTACAAAGTACATTTTTTTAATATCACATTGGATTTATCCTTGTAGATGTAAAATTAGATAGCTATAATGAAAGGCAATAAAAGTAGTTAAATAAATGACTTAAATTTGACGATTGAAATAATTTATTAATCAACATATTGTCACACTCGGAAGCTGCGTATAGGGTTAATAGGACCAATATATTAATACTTCAATGCCGGTTGATTGTATACATATGCAAAGGATTATACACTTGGAACAAAAATCGTGCGAACGTGGACCTTTACAAGAAACAGAGGAAAACAGATCAAGCGGACAACAAACGTGATCAAGAAGTTTCATGACACGCGTGTCACAGCATTCGCGTCGCATCTATCAGTCAACACGACGCGTGCAATTGCGTTTACATACAATTACACGACACACCTACACGAACGCACTTCATCGTCGAAATAAAGATCGGAGACAACACGGTAAGACGAACAGCCGCGAACCCGGCCTCCGCTTTTTAGCCGAAAGTATACCGTTACGTCGGCCTCGTCGAATACCCGCTATACTCATATTACAAATTACAAGGATATCGCTTACACATATTGTTAGCCAAGAATGAGTATACTCCTACGCGCGTCTATAGAGCTGTCTTCTAGGCAAACTCGTATCCACTGTATACTTTAGCGAAACCGGTGGGCACTACAGGGTGTCTCGAAATTCCTCTTATCAACCGTTGTTCGACTATTTTAATTACTCGTTAATTATGTTCGTTCAGTAGTCCCTTGATTTCTTAGCATAACATATTACGAAGACATAAAAGGATCGTGTGTTTTATGCCGAAGATAAATTTTACATAGAGTTTATTATAAATAAATTTCAATTTAAAGATTATTGAAAGATTCGTCTGTTATCTAAATATCTCCACGAAATGACGAAGGAACGGCGTCTTCGCTTTAGCTGAGATGCAAATTGTATCTCCGAGATATCACGTGTACACAAGGCATCTCATCTGAAATTCATCTGTAACACTAGCGAGTTAATATTCGGAATTGGATGTTATAGATTGCGTCCAATTTTCATGAATACTACTTTGATCAATGCGCAGTTAGACGAGCACGGAAAAAAAAGATTTGCTACTATACAGGCAACTAACATTTTTTGCTGCGAGAGCTAATTAATTTTGCAATAATAGCAAAACCTTTTGCTGCAATAGCAAAGTTCAGCAAAACTTTTTGTCTCATATTTAACAAATAGATTTGCTGTTGCAGCAAAACCTTTCTTTTCCGTGAGAGCTTTCGGGACACCCTGTACACTTAGCTAAAAGTTGTACCACTCACTAAGTGAGGAACCAACTCACTGCACATATTCTCTAAACACATAACAGAGCAACTCGCTCGATGTATAGGAGCAAGGAAACTTTTCGCTTAACTGCAATTCGCGCTTTCGTCGCACTCCACTTTGTGCAAAGTCTGGGAGATCTATCGAGCGGATGTTTTCCCTCTCGTGCGAACAACCCTTATCCTAGTTGATGGCGCATAAAGAGCGTTGCGCTTTTTGTATCTTTTATTTACCGGAAAAAAAGATCGATGTTGTATATAATATATTACAAGACGAAACATTTTGTCATCTTCTTTGATTTTATGACAATAAAAACTTCTCGCATGCTCTCTTTCTCATGTGTGTACGAAATATTCTTTGATTCAATAAAATATCGATTCTGTACGTTACTATATTTTCGACAGTAAATTTTACATGAAAGAATTACATGATTATTTTAATCTGTCCTTTCTTGTAATTGCCTACTTATGTATCTAGTAGATATATTGTTATCCGAGCTTCCAAACGAATGACTCATTCGTCCATCATTGATCGAAGATAATAGATTCCAATTTAGATCAATATATCATCGACCTTCGCTCGATTGATCTCCCGTGTGCTAAAATACAAAATCGAATCGCTTGAATGAAGAAGAAAAAGGGCACCTGCGTTCTCGCGAATAAACGTCTGAAACTATAAAAAATCTATAAGAGAACAATCGAACTTGAAAATGTTTATTGAATTTTCACGCAGGACACCTCCCAGAGACGCGAAATTCTCACTTCTCATTTGAATTTTGTAATTCGGAATACGGAAACGTTGCCGCGGAAACGAGATGAAGGACGAGGATTAAGAAAGGGCGCCCTTTTTCTTCGCGTGAGGGTTCTAGCAAACCGTCGCTTATCTCGCGAGGAGATTAAATTAGAAATCGAAAGAGGATTGGGCAATGTACCTTCACTTTCGTTTGTCCCTTTAGCCGATGACCGCTTGATTACATATTAGATCGTAATAAAACATTTATGTTCGTAATAAAAATTCCCATAAGTTCTGAGCTGCTTGAAGCTGTACGTGTCAACAGCTTTAACTCTTAGCGGCCGCTTTCGTTTCGTAATCATCTTTACATTAAAATAAATATATTTTTATATCTATTTATTTATTTATTTTAATGGAAAGATATATAAATTAAATCCTGAAAATTAGTATTGCGATAAAAATTGATCGAAACGATGAAACTAAATTTAAAGAAAATGAATATATTAATCTAATAAGCAGATCGATAATTATGGAATTGACAAAAATCGACGTTTATGTAAAATGAGCTTAAAATCGAAGCCTACACCGCGAAGAGCTAAAGTTTTTTCTTTTCTTATTTTACAGAAGCTTGATTATATCACGTAGAACACTCTTCGCCAATAGAGGGTGTGTCGCAGACACTCCTCCAAGTCGAATTTAGTTTAATTCGCTTTTGTAGAGCATTCGCTATGGCTTCTAATTAGAGATAACGATCTCTCTCGCGTGGTTGCCCTTTCCCCTTCAAGTCTCCGCGAGATAATCGTCTTATCATCAACTAACGTTACATTCCTGTAAAACAAAACAGAACAGCTGGACCGGATCGAGGAGGGCATGGACCAGATTAACGCCGACATGAAAGAGGCCGAAAAAAATCTTACTGGAATGGAGAAGTGCTGCGGCCTTTGCGTTCTTCCCTGTAACAAGTACGACACAACTATTTTAGCATTTTTTCTTCTTTTTGTGCTGTCGCTCTTTTTCCTTTAAAAAAGAAAATCGAAAAAAGTTCTCTGCATACTTCATCGTCCCATTAAGTTTACTATTATTATAAGAAGCTACACGATTAGACCGCACGTGTGCTAAGAGATAAATTTAATGCGCCTCATCCATATTTAAGAGATTTAACTTAGAAGATAAGTTGAATATAACTGAAGACATGTTGACCAATCACGGAATATTAAATTATAGAAAGTTGTTTAAATTTAACTCGTATATTACTTATAAACTGTAATGAAATTATATCATATTGTTATATAGCTGTTAGGTATAAGTTCCGAATTTTATATCAGAACTAAATTTTTACGAAAATTGCAAGTTGAAATAACGAAAAAAAGGCGCATTAAAATTATTAAAATAAATAATGAATTATTTATCTCTGTAGAGCCAGTTGCAAAGTGCAATTTATAAATTAACTAGCGCAAATCTGCAGAATTAGTGGAATTAATTTTATTAAACGTGACTACTCATTTCCGATTTTTAAATCGATCTTTCCCGCTGTCTATTGAACGTTAGTTCTTAAACTTTCCTCCCGAGACTGACTTAATCGCGTCGCTCGCGCGACAATCTTGCGCGCACAGAGGCGCCAGCTTTAAAGAAGATGAGGGCACGTGGAAGGGCAACGATGACGGCAAGGTCGTGAACAACCAGCCGCAGCGGGTGATGGACGACCGCAACGGTCTCGGGCCGCAGACCGGCTATATCGCCAAGATCACGAACGACGCGCGCGAGAGTGAGATGGAGGATAACATGGGCCAGGTGAACACGATGATCGGCAACCTGAGGAACATGGCGATTGACATGGGCAGCGAGCTCGGGAATCAGAATCAGCAGATCGACAGGATTAACCGCAAGGTGAGTAATAAAAATCGAGTAATGGCAGCACCGGCGTCCAAACGCTGCACCGCAGTCATCCGGCGTATATATTGGCATGGCTCTAAAAAAACTCACTCGGACGACAATTTGCGCTCGTCGTATACTCGTCGACATACATATCGCGAGCCTTGATCGAGAGAACGGGTCGTCTTGGAGAGATCATTGGACTCGGAGCAAGAATAGAGCATTCAAAGCTTGGAGCTTCTACGGTTGTCATTGCACTCTTGCTCTGAATCCTTGATCTTAATTGATGAAAATTAGTAGATTGTTTGAAACTCGAAAAATTTACGGTGAAGATCGAAGGATAAAGAATTTCCTTGATCAGTTACGTTGTTAACGTTTAATGCAGAAGACTTGTACCTTTAATTCGCGAACGACGATCAGTTTGATAGATTAATGATATTTTTTTATATTCAAGACGCTTTACACAAATTTCATCAAGGTTGTAGGATTATCATTGAAACTGTAAGTCGGTTAAACCTAAAGTATCAAGCGATAACCTTCGAGACGTAATCCAGTATGTCGATGAGAATTGAGGTCCAATATACACCTGTGAATAGTGCTGCTAGCAATAGCGAATGGCTGTACTTCCGAAAACGTCCATGCTCAGATTTAGGTGAAACTTTGTGAATAGGTTCCTTTTAGATAAGAAACACATATACCAAAAGGATTTTTTGCGACTTTAAAGTTTAGCAATTTTTTTAACATTTTTAATTTTTTGGCTCCGCGCATACATTTTCCATGCGAAACAAACCAAAACAGCTCTCAAGTAATATAAACAAACATAAAGTCATACACAAAGTACAAATATATTAATTTGCTGCTTCTGCGTATACATTTTCCACGCGAAACGAGGTGCCGCGTAAGTTGACTTTCCACGCGTGGAAAGCTCACGCATGTACTTTGGAGGCACACTATGTGTCTAATAATAGTGGAGCCCCCCGTAGGGAGGAGGAACCTACTGCCTTCACGCATACACTTTTCACGCGAACCGAGCTTTACCCTCACCTCCCCCTGCTTTCGGGGGAGGTGCGGTAGACCCTCCCCACGCTTACGTGTGTACTGTTTATACACACACACAATTGAAGTATTATTTAAAAATTTATATTAACTTTCCACGCATGAAAAGTTTACGCATACACTTTTCACGCGAACCGAGGTT